CCAATTTGCCGTCCATCCATCCACGAGTGCGTGCGTGAGACAGACGTACGGAGATCGACTGCGGGTACTCGTTCTGGAGCTTGCGGAGGTACAAGTCGACACACACGTTCTGGAGACACATGACACACAGCACACATCTCAATGCTGTGTGTCTCTGCAAAAGTGACTCACGTTGATGATGGATGCAGGGTTGGTGCGGATGGCGAACTCCATGGGGTCGGGGTCATTTGGATAGTCGAGCTGCCACTCGAAGAGGGCATCGGGGAAGTAGTTGACGCCCGAATACAGGGGGCCGGCGACTTGGGAGCCACCCACAGTCCTGATGGATGAACACACAAACATAGACACAGACACATATACAGGATCCCAGGATGGGTGTGTCGGGGTGTCACGTACAAGTCCTTGAGGGTCAGGGGACACAGGGTCGGATCGTATTGCCCAGCACTGGCCATGTTCTGTATCTTGGTCAGCATGTCCTGACCACACACACACACACACACATACACGGCTGGGATGTGTGTATCTCTTTGTGTGGGTGGGTGGCACTTGAGCAGCGATATCATCGGGTCCGCTCCTGTGACACACACACACACACACACGAGAGGGTTTGTTTATGTGATGTAGGGCCAACTTCTTGCTCTTGTACTTGTACCTTGTTTTGGGCACGCCGAGCGGAGTTGTCGTGACGAGAGTGCCGACGATGAGGAGCACGGCCACCAGCAGCAGCACCACGATGACCACCAGCTGCATCAGCGACCGAGGAGGCGCGTACCTGCACATCCATGGCAACAACAGAGACATGGACACTTCCTGTGTGCTGTGTGGTGCTGTCTTGTCTGAGCGTGTGTGCACTGACGGCGTTGTGAGGCGCTGTCCGATGAGGTTGACGGCGTTCTTGAGGCCCTCGCCGGTCGGCAAGTTGCTGAACCCAACTGATATCTGCCGCATGAGCTCTGTGTGTGCCATCCTGTAAAAAAGAGCCGGCTCGACTCCTGATTTCCAACTCAACGCCACCAGATTGTCTGAGTGAGTGAGAGAGACACACGCAGAGAGAGAGAGAGAGTCTGGTGGATGCGTCGATGTGTGGGTGGTTCTCGTGCATGCGACCTTTCTTGGCATAGACCTACATGCACATTAATTAGCACAGATGAAGCTGTTTATCAGCTGCTTTTGCGTGAGTCTTCTTACGAGTATGGCTCCATCGTGGCACTCTTTGTGTCCGAGTCCCCATCGGCTGAGCAGCGCCGACGCCAAGTCGTCCACATCCACACCTGACGGCAACTCGCTGCATGGCACGCACACAGAGACGCACAAGACGTGGCCAGAGAGAGACGTGAGCAAGCGAATGAAGAAAGGCTGACTTGATGAGTGCGACGCCCAGGTGGTAGTTTGCGGTGCTGGTGTGTGTGGTGTGTGTGCACTCCACCGCACGGACAGTTGAACGTTCAATCAATGGTTCATGGTCGTGGTCAGTCGGCCGCACACACACACGCACAGAGCACCGACGAGTGTCAGTCAGCATCCACACACACATCCATTCCTCTGAGCTGAGCAACCATCGCTCAGAACACATCAGCCGTCGTGTACGTACGCGCTGGCTGCTGCAGCCACGCACTCAGCCGGTCAGCCATAGATATCTCTATCACGCCAGACAGACAGCAGAGATGCCATCCACACATGCATGCTCGTCAGTCGGTCAGTCGTCGTCGTCATCGTCGTTTTGGAGGGCGGCGAAGGGGTTGTTGGCGGAGACGCCGCTGCTGCCCTTGGAGCCCTTCTTGCCAGGGGCACCCTCCTTCCTGTCGGCCTGCTGGCGAGACGCTGCACACAAACACACGCACAGAGGAAGAGATAGATGGGGTCATCCATCCATCCAGCCATCCCTCTCTCTCTCTCTCTCTCTGGTCAGCGTACCGGTTGTGACGTGTTCGTTGCCCTTCCCATCGATGGAGATGGACCCGACCGTCGGCAGGGTGTTCTGACTCGACAGCTCGTCGTGACGACGCACAATGCCCTCCTTACCACCGCCACTACCACCACCCTCCCCTCCAGCACCACCGGCAGCCGGGCTGTTCTCCTCCCTGCCACCGTGGCCGTCCACCTGCGGCTCTGGCGAGTCGGCCGTCACGGGGGACGATGTGGGCGAGGGGCTGCCCTGCTTGGGGCGATAACCGAGGTCACCTGAGCGAGTGTGATGCACACCAGACAGCAAGCAATGCGGTTCTGGTGTTTTGGTTGTCATCTGGTTTGTGTATTTCTGACCTCGGCCGCGCCCCCCTCTCCCTCCTCTGCCAATGGGCGTCCTCTGCGACGACTGGTGGGACGTATTGAAGGCCCCGCTGGCCTGCCCTCGGCCTCTCGTGGTGCTGCTGGTGGTGGTGGTGGTGTTATAATGAATTGGGGCTGCTGGGGGAGCGGGCGAAGGGGAAGTGGCCGACTCGCCTGCATAGAGACGCGAGAGAAATGTTCATTGATTCATTGCGCGTGGGGGGTCGGGGGCTACCTTTGACGACAGCAGCGTATGATGGTCTCGGGCCACCACTGCTGAGTTGAGGGGGTGTCACGGGCGATGCTGCACATGGACCCACACACAGAGAGAGGTGCTGTGGCCTGGCGGGTGATTAATGCGTCCACGTGTCTATGTCGCACACCCACCTTCAGCCTGAGGAGTCTCTGCTATCTTGCCGTGGTCCGTCGGCGACAGGTGAAGGCCTGACCGCCCAGCCGTGTCCGAACCTGACACACACGATGACACACAAGGCGGACACCGGACACACACGCGTGTTGTCACTTCTGTGGGCCGTGATGGACCTCTCTCTCACACAGACTGACCGTCGACAGGCGGGGGCGGGTGTGAGCGGGGCACCACCCCCTGTGGCGTTATGAGTGAGCCGGGCGGCAGGGTCTTGCCATGATGCTGCTGGTGCTGGTGCTCTCGGTCCTTCCACCTGTTCCACCTGTTGCCCCCGCCCCCTGAGGGCTTGCTGACTGCTGTGGCCGACGCGGCCGGCGGGGTGGGCTGGCCAGGAGGGTGGTCGTGGTGGTCGTCGTCACCCTCCTTGTGGGTGTGGGTGTGGGTGTGGGTGTGCTTGGGTTTGCCTTGTGACCTGAGCAGTAGACAGCAGACACCAGACACACACAGCAGCACAGTGAGAGTGTGTGTCGGGGGTGGGGGATGGGGGGTGGAGAGGGAGGCGTACGTTTGCCCATGTGTGTGTGCCGCCGACGCAGATGCAGATGCAGATGCAGACCCAGACGCCGACGCGGGCGTGAGCGGGTCGTCCTTGGCCCTCTCCTCCTGAAGCCAATGAGTGAATGGATGGATGGTGGGGTGGTGGGGGGTGGAGGGAGGGAGATTGCTTGAGTGACCGACCGACCTACCTGTTTCCGCTGCAGTATCTCCTTCTCATCTCGAGGCTTCCCGGTGCCGAATATCGACGCTGTGCGGCCCCTAATACACACACAGACACACAGAGAGACAGTTAGAGAGAGACTCAGATGAGCGAGGATACACACCACCAGGAATGACAAGTCGAGCAAGTGGAGCGAGCACTAAAGAAGAAGTGACTCACTGTCTAGGGAGCGATGCGGGTGTGTCGATCTGCCCCTTGGGCTTGTCGAGGTGGAGGTGCTGCACCGGGTGGAAGGGCTTGTCTTCTCCGTGTGCCGACGACTTGGGGCTGACGCTGCTCGCTGGGGTCATGTCGCCTGCAACCCATCCAGGTGTGGAGCCATGTGTGGATGGATGGATGGATGGCTTTATCTGTCTTGTCTGGTGCTGCTTTGGTCTTCATCTCACCTCTGTCTCTGTCTCGATTTCTGTCGCCGAATCGGTAAGACGGCCGCCGGTCCCTGCCCCTGTAGCCACTGTTTCGGGCTCTGTCCGAGCGCCCGAGGTTGGAGAACCTGTCGTGGCCCCCATCGCCACCGCGAGTGGGGTGCGGGCGACGACCGCCCATGCTGTCGGCGTCATAGCCGCGGTCACGATACCCGCCAACTCCACCCCCACCACCTGCACACACACCAGATCATGTGACGCCTGGCCGTGTGAGTGTGTGTCGTCGTGTGAGTGTGTGAATGAATGCGTGTGTGTGTGTGTCACTCCCTCGACTCACGTTTGTCGTCATACTCGTCGTATCCGTCCCTGCCCGGCGGACGAGAGGGCCGGTCACGCTGACACCCACCTCCGCCGCCATCGCCACGCTCTCGCTCGCTATAGAGCTCGTCCTTCTCCTCCTCCTCTGCACCAAGCAAGCCACACGCACACACGAGGGAGTGACCAGGCTGTGTCCATCGATTCACTCGCCCACAGACAGACATACCGTCACGCCTTTGCGGGGTTCCCCTCTCGCCGCGGTGCTGGTGGTGGTGCGGCAGGACGTCCTCGTTGCCGCTCACGTCCGCCCACGCCTTGCGGCCCTCTCCGTCGCCAGCCGAGACGACCCGTCGGTAGGGGGATGTGCCAGCCGCGCCGCATCGCTGCTTTAAATCTGCAATGAGGTCCTCCGGCACCACACAGCACTCGGCGTCCTCACCTGCACACACACACATGCGCAACGAGGGAGGGGTGCTTGTGGTGGTGGTGGCGGTGGAGTTGGTGCCCCTTGGTGTTTGCTACGCACTCACTTGCGCATGTGGGGATGAAGTCCTGTGCGATGATGTCCTTGAGCTTGGGCAGGTCCAGCATCAGGTCGTCCAGGTACTCGGCGAACTCACGCACACTGCGACCACCAACACACACACCCAACAGACAGACAGAAGCAGAGATGAAGGTCGGGAGGGCCACAGGTCAATCCACGCCCCCATAGAAGTCTATAAATGCATGTGGTATGTATCATGGTCAGTCACTGCCCTTCCACAACCAGGAGGACGGTGACTCCAGAATCCTTCCTTCCCGAAGACAACAGCTCTCTCATCATCCCAACCCTCCCTCCATCCCTGTCTCCCTCCCTCCATCCCTTCTGCCCTGCCTGTCTGCCTGCCAAGAGAGTTCACTGACCCGTCTTGAATGGCGTCTGGTGTGAGTGGTGCCGGACTGCCGTCGGTCGATGGCTTGGCCAGGAGGATCAGCAGCGGGTAACACACGGCCCGCTGCGACTCGTTTTGCTCAGCTATCCAAGACATCAAATCGGACACCACACGCTGATTGATCGATCCACAACACACACATGACGGGAGCGAGGGAGAATGAGAGGGAGAGAGAGGGAGAGAGAGAGAGCCACATCACAAAACATGTATTATGGATTCTGCTGTGTGTGTGGGTGTGGGTGTGGGTGTGGTATGGGCGTAGGTACCGATGTATGTCTGCCGGTATGGCCATATCAGCAAAGTTCTTCGTCACGTCCTCGAGGTCACTTGAAAAGGTCTGACGCACAGACAGACAGACAGACAGAGGGAGAGAGAGAGAGAAAGAGAGAAAGAGAGAGAGAAAGAGAAAGAGAGAGAGAGAGAGATAGGCCGACACGGATGAGGGAGGGAATTGCTTGGTGTATCTAGCTATCCATCTTAACTCTCTGCAGCACTCACTGCTACCGTGCCTGTCTGTCTGTCTGTCTGTGCGTGCGTGCGTGCGTGTGTGTGTCTGTCTGTCGGGGCCCGTCCGTACATATTCCTTGATGTAATCCTTGGCCTTTGACCGCATCCGGTGAATCAACTCCTCCTGGCATGACGACCGACCAAACCACGCGCAAATCAACCAACCAACAAAGCTTTGAAGGAATGAAGAATCCACCTCGCCACCTGCCTCGCCTTTTTCCCTTACCCGGCCCTCGTCAGCAAAGGCCGCTGACGCAGGCTGGGGGCTCGTCCCCTGATTTGCACCACCCCCTGCTGCTGGTGCTGCTGCAGCAGCTGCTGGTGACGTGGACCTCTCGTCAGCGGCCGTTGGCTGCGTGGGCGGGGCTGTGGGGGTGGTGGCATTGCCCGTGGCCCTCTCCTCCTTCTCGCGCTCGCGACGCTGCCGCCTCTCCCGCCGCTCCTCGTGGCGATCGCCCCGCAGGTCGCTGCCCTTGAGCACACGGCGGGACGTTATCACACTGCACGGACAGACACGGACACAAAGGCATCCAGTGGTTGCAGGTAGCGGGACACAAGTGCCGAGGCGCATGGACGCGGTGCGCGGGCCATACCTGGTTGGCTTCCCGGGGGTGCGGGATGGGACGCGAGAGGCCTCCTGGAGACGGGATGACTGACGAACACAACAGAGGGACATAGAGGGACAGACCACCGTGACACTCATCGGCAAGAAGATGCGGTGTGTTGTGTTGTGTTGTGTTGTGTTGTGTCGTCTCGCCCACACTGGCAGAGGCAGCAGCAGCAACGGCGGGGGGCTTGGGGCCCGCGCTGGGGATCGGGAGCAGACCCTCGGATGGGGAAGCCAACCCACGCAACTCCTGCTTACACAGACACACGTACACACACAGATCATTGTGTGTCTTGGGGGCATGGGCAATCGCACCAGGTTAGTTCTGCTGAGTACGATGTCCTCTCCCTTCTCCTCGACATGTTGTCTGTGGATGTCCCTCAGCTTGGAGGGTCCCCCCACCATGCCCGGCTTCACCATGCGGCGCCAACCATTGGCTCGCAGATCCAACACATCCTACGACCAACCACCATAACCAACCAGCCACCATAGCCAAACATGCACACCGACATACAATCTCCTGTCTATGGCGCCTCTGTCTGTCTGTCTGCCTCAGTGCGTACGCACACGAACCTTCATGAGGCACCTGACGCGGATGCCAAGGTTTTCGTCGCGCGACTTCTCCTCTAGCTTGTGGAACCACTGCTGCAGCTCCGCTCGCCTATTCCACTGCAGCGGTGATGGATTGATCCACGGATGGAGTCCACACACACACACACACACACACATGCATGAAGGAGCAGATGGGCAGTAGATATCTTGTGTAGGGGTGGCGGGTTGGGTGCTCACGTCTTTCGCCACGTCGTACACGGGCCCGATGGTCGTGAGGAAGGTGCACACGCACTCCTGCACACATACACACACCGAGGTATGGATGGATGGATGGATGGTGCTCTGTGTGTGCAGGGGCGTGTGCGTTGATATCTTACGAATTGTGCCTCTCCCTCTTTGCCTTGTTTCTCGCCGTAGTGCCAGAGCTGCTTGAGGCACTCAAACAGCAAGTTGGCGCTCATGATACGCTCGATCAGCAGCTGACCTGCACCACACACACACAGAGAGAGAGAGAGACTCTGAGAGAGGCGGGTGAGCTGTGTGTGTGCGTTTCTGTCTGCGTCTGGTGTGGCACGCACCCACGAATTTGATATTGCCGAGCATCTGGTTCTTGTACTTCAAATAAGCCTCCGTGTAGTCGTTACCTGCACCGACAAAATAACACATGGAGAGAGCCGAGGGCCGTTTATGGTGAGTGAATGGATGGAGCTCGGGACAGGTGGGCGTGGGAGGGTACCTGTGAGGCCGTTGAGATTGTCAGGCGGCTTCAGGTACTTCTCAAACGACTCCTGACACCGATTCAACAGCATCCTGGGACGGCACACGCGCACATAAACACGCATAACCGCGGAGAAGACACTTGCAAGAATGATGAGTGCACCTTCTGAACTCCTTGTCCTCTTCTGTGCCCTCCTGGTGTCCATCGGCCTTGTCTCCCCTCTCCATGATGGCCTTCAGATTGTCCTTCAGAAGCACACACAGCTCCACATACATCTGATCAATGACACAGACAGACAGACAGACAGACAGACAGAGTGCGTGTGTTTGTGGGTGTGTGGGTGTGTGGGTGTGTGTGTACCTGGATGAAGTGGTGCTGCGTGGTGGCCTTGTCAAAGACCATCCCCACGAGCGCCTCAATCTGATCGACACAGACACGACATGCATCGGCACACACACACGGAACCTCCCTGCCTTCTCCTGACTCCCTCGCCGACTCACCTCAGAGTTTTGAGTGATTCCAGCGTCGAGTATCTGTTGGTAGAGCCGGTCGAACTTTTCGATCGTCAGCTTGTTGAGAATCCCTTTCAACTTACGCAACACCGCCTCAGACTCGTTCCTGCACAGACAGACAGACAGACGGAACGACGTCGTGTTACAGTGTGCTGTGTTGCATACTGTGTGTCATGTAAGCTTACTGTTCAACCTTGGTCTTCTTCATAGACGCGACCCATGAGTTCTCACCCACCACCACCTTATTGTCATCGCGGTCGCGGTCGCGGCCTGAACAAAGGAGTGCAGGCAGGCGACAAGCGTGTGTTCTATCTAGCGGCTCTTTCTCTCCCCCCACTCCGCCCCCTCTGTGGTGGGTGCTGACCTCCCCTCCAGCCGCTGTCATCCTCACGACCACAGCGCCTGGCAGACGAGCATGGCGTCTGTAAGTCAAGTGGCTGCGGCACGTATGTTTACTTACCATTTGTCGCGGCTCCACTTGTCCGCATCATCACGATCACGGTCGCGCTGACCAGCCAATCAATCACACACACAGACGCTACAGCCTCCGCCAGTGTCAGGTTGCCCATCCAATGAGTGCATCTGTGTGCTCACGTCGTCTCTCCGGCTGTCCCCGTCTGCCGCAGTGCTGTCCCGGACGTTTCTGAAGCCGACTCTCCTCTGGAAGGACCCGAAGCTGCCCGCAGCCGGGCGGCCCCCTGCTGAGCCGCCTGGCCGGAAGCTGCCCTTCCGGGAACCGCCCGCACGGTGGAACTCGCCGATCTCGGTGGCCGCGGCCGAGTGGTCTGCACATGGATGGATGGATGGATGGATGGGAAGCACTGGCTGTGATTGTGATTGTAATTGTGATAGCGCTTGTGTTGTGTGTACCCTTGAGCAGGTACAGGGGGATGTTGTGGTTGTCTGGGAGCCTCTGGCAGTGCTCCTGAGGCAGGCAGATCAGGACACACATACACAGATGTGATGTGCACACTGGTATCCAGTCAGTGTCTGGGTGAGATGTCGATCTGTCTAGATCTGTGTGCGTTTTTGTCTTGTCTATATCGGCCGGCACGGTGCGGAGACACTTACCTGGTCTTTGAAGGACTTGAGGAAGTCGACGGGGTAGAACCGGGGGATGCCCCCGGACTGCTCAGCCTCCTTCTGCTCCTCAGCAGGCGCCTCCGGCACTTCAGCAGCAGGGGCCTCCCATAGGCGGAGGGGGAGGGGAAGAGGGAGAGGCTCGGGCTGCAGCCTGCCTCTCCTCCCACCGTCGTTTGACGCGTGCTCTGATGTCCTCGAGGCGTGCTCTGATGTCCTCGAGGCTTTCAGGCGCCAGTGGGGCCATCATGGCGGCGGCGACCCAGGTAGCGGTGCCGCCGCCGATGATGGCCCACACGGTGCCGCCCCACACCGTCTCGAGCAGCATCGGTTGGGAGGGAGGGAGGAAG